GGTATAATCAGTCATCAAGAAATGTTCACCTCTGTCTCCTCAGCAAGATGACGCGGTGATCAATCATTTGTATTTCAGTTTATTTGTTTATTTTATAAAGATTAAATAAAAGGTAATTATTCCAAATCAGAATAATAAAAATAAGATAAATAAAAAAGTGTATATTATTTAAAGCTTATCACCAATTAATTATTTTCCAGCGGCAAATGTATAAAAAAGGAATAAATTATTATTATACTTTTTGTGTATTGCTTTTGATCGAGATCAGTTTTAACTTCCCATGGGATTGGACCAAAAAAAAAACAAAAAACAAAAAACAAAAAAAACAAAACCCTAACATTTCGCAATTTCATTTCAATTTCCTTTTTAAAAGACGGATGATCATATTCTTCCAAGCTGCGACTTCTTTCTGGAATATATTATCCAAAGATTTAAATATTCACAAAAAATGGGTTTTATTTTCATAATTTCTGCATGAAATATATGGAGATAACGAACAGTATTCAAGCTCAAAAGTCCATCAAACAATACAAAATAGGAGCAGAGCAAACACGGGCCTCCAAACATCAAAGGCGGGATCAGGTGCCATGGAGGAGTGAGCATCCCCTGTCGACCGGTCACACCCGCCGTGTGCTCCTTGTCATGATCGGGAAATAACGGGAAAATCCGTCGACCATTCAGTGTGTAAATAATGGCCTAACAATTGGTATAAAAAACGTCAGCCAGCATTTGACTCAATGATAAATTGTATTTGCTGACAAGGTCATTGTATCGACCATAGAACTTACGAAATGATGACTTTAAACGAGACAGCTGATATTCTTGTTTCATCAACTTGTTTGTCAGTAATTTATTTTGTTTTAGAAATTGTACATACGTAGAGTATGCTCTTGCGTATCAAACCAAGTGAGAGATATACACCCCGTATGCAGGTGATGAAGGTATATTACTGCATAAGTAAGGGAAGTTGACGATCGAAAAGTTAAAGTCATCACGTTTATCATAAAGCTTGGTTGTTAGATTATCATTAACGTTTTTTTCAAGTAAAATATCCAAATATGAAACAGATGTGTCAGACTCTGTGGTATCTTTTATCTCAAGCTCACAAGGATATATCGTATCGACATAAGAATGGAAATGACCATTGTTAATTGACAATACGTCGTCGATATATCTAAATGTCGAGTTGAACGCCACAGCAAGCGCTTTCTTCTTTTCACGTACAAGATTTTGGACAAATTCTGCTTCATATGAATACAAAAAAAGGTCTGCTAATAACGGGGCGCAATTGGTACCCATGGGAATTCCAATAGATTGTTGGAAGACCTGGTCTCCAAAAACCACATAGATATTGTCAATCAGAAACTCTAGCATCTTTTTAATGTCAACTTTAGAGTACTTGTGTGTACAATCAGAATGTTTTTTTTAACAAAATAATTTTACAAATGACCAATGACAAGGTAAGTAAATTTATGAGTTCCATTTTTATTGAAAAAGCAGTTGTCAATGATATCAAAAAGCCTGGACTTTAATTTATCGTGGGAAATGGTTGTGTATAAAGTTGAAAAGTCGTAAGTTTTTAAGCTGTTGATTTTGGTAAAATCTTGTGATTTCAAATTTTCCAAAAGTTCTTTGGAGTTTTTAAGTATCACAAATTAAATTTTCTATTACAAAATGACTTTTCTTGACATATTTTATTAACTGTTAACATTATGCATTTATTAACAGCAAATTTTAAACTCTAGAAGCATCTTATTTGCAGTTAAAAGAGACGAATTTTATATTTTCTCTGAAAAAAATGAAGAAAAAAGTCATGTTAAATAATTTAGAACTAATATTGGTCTTTTAATGCTGAAAACAATTATTGAAAGGCATGTATTAAAGATTCACTGGATAATAATTGATGTAGCATTCCTCCTTAAATCATAAATTTATACAAGATTTTTTTCATGATAAATTAAAATCTAGACTCTTTGATATCACAGGCAACTGTTTCTTAAATAAAAACGGATCTCGGAAATTTTCACATCTTGTGATTAGTAATAAGCAAAATTACTTCGGTAAAATTTTAAAACCACTCTAATTGTACACACAAGTACTCTGAAGCTGATATTAAAAAGATGCCGGAATTCCTCATTGACAACATTCATGTAGTCTTTGGAGACCAAGTTTACCAACAAACTGTTGGAATTCCGATGGGCACTAATTGTACTGCTTTATTAACTGACCTGTTTTTATATTCCTATGAAGCATAATTTATTCAAAAACTTCTACACGAGAAGAGGAAAACACTAGCTGTGGCCTTCAATTCGACATTCAGATATATCGATGATGTTTTACCAATAAATTATAGTTATTTTCATTCGTATGTCGAATCGATATATCCCAGTGAACTTGAAATAAAAGACACCGCAAAATCTGTCACATCTGTTTCATATTTAGATTTTTAACTGACTATAGACGATAAAGGCCAATTAACAACTAAATTGAATGACGAACGAGATGACTTTAGCTTTTCCATCGCCAACTTTCCTTATTTATTTAGTAATATTTCACTATCACCTGCTTATGGTGTTTGTGTCTCCCAACTTATTCGCTACTCAAGAGCTTGCTCTGAGTACTATCAATTTTTAAAGCGAGGCAGGCTACTCAATGATAAGTTGATGTTACAGGGATTTCTACAACCTCGTTTAAAGTCAGCATTTCGTAAATTTTTTGGTCGTTATAATGACCTTGTTAGATTTTTTGAAATCGATCACTGTTCGTTATCTTTACTTTTTACATTATATCAAGATTCAAAATTAGAATTATTGTAGAAAAGTTTCACACGCTTAAAATAATTTCTTCTTTTTTTATATATAAATTGTAAATCAAATGTATAAAAGAATTAGCTTTTTTGCTATTTGTTCACTAAGTTCTTAGTTTTAAAACCATATATAGATGCAACATGCCTCTGTGCCAACAGGAAGCAGAAAGTATGTAGGGATGAACACAAATGTTAAAAAATTAAAAAAAATCAATCATGATGATCCTATTTTTAGCTCATATGTGCCTTTGTTGAGCATTTCTAATCGAAGTTTGTCATCAATTTGTTTGTCTGGAGTCATTTCCTAACTTTTCTATCCTTTTTAATTAAATTTTGACCAAAGGAAAAAAAATTCCGAAAAGGAAATTGGAAATTTTTATATTAAATTTTATGCGAAAATTCTAGATCTTTACTAATCTTTCTTTAAGAAATGCTGGGAAACAATTGATCTGATCATATTAAAATCTAACAGTCCAAAAGAGTACATGTAGATTTCTATAAATCACCACAAGGGCTAGAATGGGCTAAGCTGGATACTAAGGCCTACTGGCCTCTTCCTATTTTTAAGGAGGGACCCTTACATTCAAGATAAATCTACAAGTACATACTGTAAATAATGAGAAAACTTAAAACATAATTTAATAAAATATTTTCATAATGCTATTATTTGAGTGATAAACTTCAGATCTGAACTTTTAACGTTTTTAAAGTCTTATTTAAAAGCTTGTGGCATGTTGGTATTTCAAATTTAGGATAAATCTACAAATGTACAGTAAGATAATTACATCAACATTAATATTCATAGAGCCTTTCTATAATGCTAAAATTTGGGGGATAAAGTTGTTAAGTTTTAACGTTTTGAAAGTCTCATTTTAAAGTTTGGTGGCAAGTGGGTTATTCCTAAGGTTCCCTCCAGAGAAGGCAAACACTCGGGATCCTCTGGTTTTATCTCAAACTTCTGTAGAAATCTGGTGAAGAATAGGAAAAGCTCCATTCTGGCAAGCGATTCTCCTAAACATACTCTGCGTCCTGTAGAAGATAAATAAGGATATACTTAAATACATGTATATGTCATAATAATTTCAAAATAGATGTTCGAACTTTTTTTTAATCAAAATAATCAAAATGTAAAATGAATTTTCGAATAGTTTTCTTGTCGTACCCAATTATCAAACCTTTATCTATATTCACACTGTACCTATTGAAAATGGAATCAGCTTATTTTTTTGCTCTCCTTGACATCTTCCGCTTTCGTCTAAAAACCTTTCTGGTTTAAACTTTGAAGGTTCAGGGAAATTTTCTGGATCCGACATTACAGAATCTAAAACGCAAAATATAAGGACACCTTTGAGGAAGAGATGTCCATCGTACACGAAATCCTCGCTAGAGGCATGTGGTACATTCATGGGAACTATATTTGCAAGGCGCTGAATTTCTAGAATGAACGCTTCTACCTTTGGCAGCTGTTCTTTGTGTTCCATCTTAGGCTGAGCTTGACCAATCACGTCATCAACGTCTTTCTGGAGACTTTTTTGCCAATGAGGATAATGTATCAAGTACAGAAGCGCCCATCGAAGTGTTGTAGAAGTAGTTTCTGTGCCAGCACCAAAGAAATCTCGTACACTGACTACAAGTTGTTCATCTATCAAAAGTGAAGGTCACAGTAGAAATATTCTTAAATGATACATTTCTTAAATTGTAACATTCTGCATTATAGGTAGGCTTAAGTAATCAAAGATTATTCCCTCACACTTCGACATTATGTCATGTAAAACACACAAGCTAAGCCTGAAGTCCTTTATTTCAAACGAAACTTACTGCCAAAACATATCCATGCCAATACTAACGTTTTTCATATTGGCATCTGATCCCACCTCTGGAGTTTCCAGGGTTCTGTGATTATGTCCTGTTCACAAATTTGTACTGTTTTAAAGAACTTTGAAATCGGTCACTGTTCGTTATCTTCACCTTTTCATAATACAACTATTGGATTAATAAATTCATTGCTAAATGCAAAGATTTCCTATGACTGAAGGCTTAGGACCACATTGACGTTTATTTGCCTAACATACATTTCATCCTAGCATTAGGTTTTCCTCCATTTCATTACACGTGTTATTCATATAGATTCAATAGTGTTAATTTGGGAAGACGGAGGATGGAGGCTGTTTTTAAAATTACCTGTGAATGTCGTGTTTATCTCATTTCCTCTCTGACTTTGTTCCAGAAGATAAGCATCAATGTAATCATTGATATTGTTCTCATCAAAATTAAGTCGGTGCTCCTCTACCATTTCAGTCACAAATGCACTCATAGCACTGGTGTTTTCCATTATCGTTTGAGTGGTACTAATTTGAAAATGGCGTACCCAAGGGAAAAGAAAACCGATTGAAGAAGCATTGGCAGTAGAGAACAGTTCATTGAGTATATAAATCAATCGCTTGAATTTTTCATCCTCATAGTCGAATCTTTTACCGAATAAAAGTGAACAAATAACGTTTGACACCGAGGTGTTCAGAATGCTTTGAATGTCAAAAGCCTTTTGTCCATATTTTTCTAGTTCATCCATTAAACAGTCAACTTCTTCCATAATCTGGCTTTCCAAGCAACGTCGTCCGAATCCAAACTTACGCATCGTTGTCAGTGCAAATGTCCTCTGTTCCTTCCATAACGGACCCGATGACCAGATCAATCCTACGAAGATAAATATTGAATTGATGACTAGGATACATTCAATGTTACGCTGATTTTCCTGTTTAAAGTATATATTGTTTGGTTTAGAATGGTTACTTTTGTTACTGTCGTTATATAATTACATTTTATGCTGTAAATAAACCTTTTCCTTGAGCAATAGTAATGTATCGTTTGGTTACAATGGTTACTTTTATTATGGTGGTTAGATTAGTACATTATATGCTGTAAACAAACCTTTTTATGTATTGTTTGGTTACAGTGGTTACTTTTATTACGGTGGTTAGATTAGTACATTATATGCTGTTAACAAACATTTTCCTTTAGCAATAGCAATGTATTGTTTGGTTAGAATGGTCACTTTTGTTACGGTGGTTAGATTAGTACATTATACGCTGTAAACAAACCTTTTCCTTTAGCAATAGCTACAGAAGGAAGAACCCTAGGTCGCTCTGAAAACATATCGCCATGTTTTGCCAGAAGTTCCCTTACATGGTGATATCCATGGACAATTATCATAGGTTTGTAGAAAAACATTAAGGAGTATATGTCTCCATATATCTTCCTTAGTCTTCTGTGAGCTCTCGGGGCTTCTGAGGGTTTGAAGAGTCCTACATTACCGATCATGGGGTAGCACGTAGGACCCGGTGGGAGACCTTTCGGTCGTCTGGAAAGACCGCAGATCAAACAGACCAACACAACAATGATGACCACAGTAATCCACATTGTGCAAAAAGTCCTGTACTTATATTTTTTTACTCCAAAAATCTGATGAACTGTTAATATCTCTCGTATTCGTGTTGACCCTTTCTCTAGAGAAGTATTTCTATTTACTTAAGCTAACATTGCAATGTACGATGAATGTTGTTTTGTACGATTTCCGACCTTCTATATTAAGAAAAGTAAATGCTGTCATTTAAATAAACGTTCCAGTTTATCACCCCGCGTACGATTAACCTTACACGCAGAGGACAGAACATCACAGCTGGAATTCTCAGAACTAGATTTCGTTTATTTGACTGTATGGAGGCATTTATAAAACGATTTATCGTAAAACTTCTTTTTATTCATTCAACCTTTTTCTGTGATACAGGCTCGTATTACTCCGCGGAGGGGGGTTCTCAGAAGAGTGCAAATGATTATGTATGGGGATTTTCATACTCCGAGTCATTATAGTTTCTTTACACCGCCTCCCCCCCCCCCCCTTCACAACACAAACAGTTAAGAGATGAATAAACATCGATGTCTTCTAGCATAATAAATTACGGGTGTTCAGCTATGTAACTTAATTACAAAAATCAATCCGCATCATTTACTCTAGAAATTTACAAAATAGCGTTACATTGTACAAGAAACATTCCCTCATTATATTTTTACATTGGAATAAGCCCCGTTTCGTAGTAGGTGCTGGCACGAAAAAGATCGTAAGTACCGAGTATAGCCTTTCACCGGCTCGAAGGGACGTTTTAAACGAACCAACAAACATTGGAGTAAGTCAATGAATTCTGGAATGAAATGTTGCCTAACGTCATATAAAATTTCTTTGTGGTTAAAGGAGAATAGATTGAATGCTATTTTAAAATTTTTTTTAAAGCTGTATTCAATAATTTTACGTTATTTTATGTCCAAGAAAAGTTGTCCAAGTAATTTTGTATTTATTGCCTTAACCATTAATCTAAAGTAGAGAGTAAATAATTATAGAGAAACTACGTACATGCAATGTAGTAAGGTGCAATATGAGTAAAGTTTATTTGCCAATGATTGTAAATATACTAGAAAATATTAACTTTCGTGTAAAAAAAAACTGATGTAGATTTGTTAGATTATAGCTCAGTGCATATTTACATTTTGGTTTACTGTTGATATATACAATTTATTATATGACTGAATAATTCCCATCTCTCTGGCTGAGATCCAACAATGTAGAAAAATACTACGTTATATTCACCTGCACGTGACCTTCCAGGTGAATATAAGGATTTATTTTCTCAACATTGGTCTAAAAAAAGATCGTGAAATTCCAAATTGATACAAATAGTTTTGGAAAGCTATTTCAATTGCTACTGACTTCCACACAGGTGAGCATAACATTAGGGAATATATAAATTAACATTTTTTTCCTGAACGTAAATTTATACTTTTGATTCAGACTAAAGATATTCATTGAAAGACTGGTCCCCCACTTATGGACCTTAATCCCCACCCCTAACACCACCCCAACCCTAAAACAAAATTTGAAGTTAAAAGAATTCTCCTTTTGTGAGGGCTTATCAAAGATTTTTTTTCAACTGTCATTTTTCCCTGATAATGTCCCCCCTTTCAAAATCAATTCTATAAAAGAGCCTGACATAATTTCTTTTTTTTTTTCATAGGAACTAAGCAGATTTTAAATATTCCAAATTAACACGACTGGTAATATTTATTTAACCTAGCTTCTCTCATTGCATTTAGCTAGAACTTTTGCAAATGTAAACAAGTAAGACGACGTGAACTGCTTAATGAATAATAAGTTCGTATCATTAAATCATTGAATCATATAATAAAACAATTATTGCTGTTTTTGAGGTCAATGCGATGATTTAGCCACCTTCGAAGTACAAGATCACCTCGCCCTTCGGGCTCGGTAAATATTGTACTCCTCAGGTGGCTAATTCATCGTATTGACCTCAAAAACAGCAATAATTGCATAATATTTATTTGAAATAAATAATTAAAAGTTATATTCTACAAGATATAAACACCAAAGACAAAGGTTCGGGGAACCTAACGACAAAACCTCTCCATCCAATAGCAAACAGCCATGAAAATCAAGGACAAGAAAAATCCTTTATCATTCTCGAAAAAAAAAAATTAGCATAAGCTACTAGTATAGAATTTTTTGATAAAATTTGTAACCAGTAAAGAGTGAAAATAAAAAAAAACATGCAGTATTTAACAACTATTTTGGACTGTATGACATAAATGTATGCTAAAATTCACAGATTACTGCAGCTTAACGTTTTAAAAGTCTAATATTAAAAGCTTGTGGCGTGTTAGTAATCCCGTAGTTTCCCTCCAGAGAAGGCAAACACTCGGGATCCTCTGGTTTTATCTCAAATTTCTGTAGAAATCTGGTGAAAAAAAGGAATAGTTCCATTTTGGCGAGTGCCTCTCCTAGACACACCCTGGGCCCTGTCGGAGCAAAAAGAGGCATTTGGTAGATTCAGGAGTAATTTCAAAGCAATATAGCAAAAGTGCTAACTTTAATTATTCAAATTCAAATATTTACATTAAATTAGGTATTGTCCATGACAATTACTTTTGAATATTTTTTCATTGACATTTTCAATACTGCATGCATTTTTTCTCATATTCATACCTAACGAAAAGGAGACCAGCTTGTCTTTCAGCTCTTCGCCACATCTCCCGTGGTCGTCTAAAAACCGCTCTGGCTTAAACTTTGAAGGTTCAGGAAAAATTTCTGAATCCATCAATACGGAATCAAAGAGACAAAGTACTGTGGTACCTTTGGGAAAGAGATACCCATTGAACGTGAAGTCTTCCTTGGCTGCATGTGGAGCATTTAGTGGAGTGATGTTTCCTAGTCGCTCAGTTTCCAGAGTGAATGCATCTACCAATGGCAAAAGATCCCTGTGTTCCATCTTGGGTTGTCCCTGGCCTATGACATCATCAATTTCTTTCTGAAGTATTTTCTGCCAATGTGGATTATGAAGTAAAAACAGAAATGCCCATCTCAATGTTGTGGAAGTAGTTTCAGTTCCCGCGATAAAGAAGTCTCTTAAAATTTGGTTCAGATTTTTATCTGTAAAAGTAATGATTCTTTCCATAATGAGATACATTGTATTTTGGATTAAATAATCATTACATGGAACAGATTTCAACCCATCTATTTCTCGTAGTATTGATGAAAAGGTTTAAATTGTACGTAATCTTTTGTAATTTTACTCAGAAACCAGAAAAGCAAACCTTTTACGCAACCATCTTGATTTTATATTATTCATATCTGTATCAAGTTTTTAAATGGCATAGAACGTGTACATGATAAATTACCTGTGAATGTAGTGTCGATTTCATTTGATCTTTGCTTTTGTTCCAGAAGGTAGGCATCGATGAAATCTTTGATGTGTTCCTCGTCAAAATGTCTTCTGTGCTCCTCTATCATTTCATTAAGAAAGGCTCCCATAGCATTAGAATCTTCTTCAATTGAGTGGATGTTAAATATTCTAATATGGCGTAAAGAGGGAAAGATAAAGACCGGTGATGATGTAGTGACGCTGCTTAAGGATCTTGACAACAGATCAATTAAACGCTTGAATCTTGCATCTTCATAATCAAACCTTTTACCAAATAAAAGCGAACAAATAACATTTGCCACGGATACATTTAGTACACTATGAATATCAAAAGTCTCATTTCCGTATTTTTCTAATTTCTCCATCAGACAGTCTACTTCTTCCATGATTTGGCTTTCCAAGCAACGTCTTCCGAATCCAAACTTGCGCAATGTCATCAGTGAAAAAGTTCTCATTTCTTTCCATAACGAACCCGATGACCACACCACACCTGGGCAGGTAATAAGAAATTAAAGAATGTTAATTAACTCAGAATAATAAAAATTAATACATGACACCTCCTTACAGTGATACTACTACGGGATAATAAATTTCATGCCCCGACCCCAAAAGAGACCTTGCACCTTTGGCACTGGGTTGGCTTTCTCCTGCTCCTAGTCTGAGAATCACCTGCTATCTCAAAAATTAAAGAGAACCCTGATTTGTAAAGAGAATCCTGATAAAGATTTGTTTCATCTCCCACGGAAGTTATTTCTCTGATATCATCAGAGGCTCTACTTGCAGTTATACAAGGTATTTATGCCAAAACAGTAAGATTATTTATTGTTCAGTGCATTTCCATACAACCGATCCTTCAGGCTTGAAGATGTATTCTTTTCTCATAATATTCTGATCTTTAGAAAAATGAAATATGCTACAGTTTTACCATTTCTTTCTGCAAGATCAGTGGCAAGTGACCTTGGTCGCTCAGAGAAGACATCCCCATGCTGTACCAGTAAGGCTCGTATGTTGTCGAATCCGTGTACAAATATGATGGGCTTATGGAAGATCATTATGGTATAGATGTCTCCATAAATCTTTCTCAGTCTTCTGTGAGCTTTGACAGCTTCTGATGGTTTGAAAATTCCGACATTCCCGATGACTGGATAACATGTAGGACCAGGCGGAAGTCCCTTTGGTCGCCCAGTTAGACTCCATATCAAGCAAATCAAAACAATAACAATGGCCAAAGTCACCCACATAATGTAAAATGTCGTACATAAAAGGCCTACATTCCTTGAACTTATTGTATGGTTGCATTTTGGTGCTACAATTCTATTTTTATAAAATCTGATATAAATCTGTATACCTGCACTACCTCAAGGGAAATTCATTATACTGTCGTTATCCTCTCTGTCTGTCACAATTTTCAGGAGAATTCCTACATAAAATTCATTTTGCAAATTGAGTATTAAAGATGACATGCATATGATGTAAATGTACAATAAGTTTTGTTATCATACAGCTAATAAATAGTTTATAATAATAAAAAAAAAACTGCTAAAAGTCTAGAGAATTTTAGCCCTCAGGATCTTAGCGTTTTATTAAAAATTGAAATAAATTAATTGATAATTTAGTACCTATTAGCCTCGATAAAAACCTCAATAAGTAAATGATAACGCTTGATAGGGTGATTGGAATGATGTAATATTGAACACTTACAGGAAAGACGCTGACGTTTTAATTTAATTACCGATACTAAAAAATCTCATTAACTTTGGGTGATTTAATTGCAATAATTAATATATATCAATGGGAAATGTTTAGACTATATATTGAACTAATATTAGTGAATATTGGCACTCGTTGGCTGTACAAATGCACTCGCAACCTCGTGCATTTGTACAGCCAACTCGTGCCAATATTCACCAATATAGGTTCAATAACCCTATAAAATTGCGATGTGTTTAAGGTGCTAAAATGGTGTTGATTAGAAATTAAGCTGTTACATGAACTCTTTCTACAGTTTTATTGAAAAAAAAGGAAATCAAAATATTTTAAAATATGAATGGTCATAGCTTTTCGATGTGCGGCGAGGTTTTGGAATTTGGATCCCAGTATCTGAGCTCGCGAAGTATGTGATTCTCTGTGTAACAAGGTCTTTGGAAGTTTGGAACTCTTTCTACATTTCTGGATTTAAGAATTTCATTTCATTTCGTTATTGAATGCTGAAGTTTCCGATGCATTTTATAATATTTATAATAACGTTTTGGATGCTGCAAGAAACATTTTCTGCAGTGTGAGATCAGGTTGAATTCTGAAGCCTTGTTTATTCCTTAGTCCCTTAATTTCCTGATGATTTGAAAAAAGCATATTGTCAATCATGTTCAAGATGCCGCAATACGCACTCAATATACTAACTTGAAATATTAGAGGAAATTCCAAACATTTTAAGTCTAATTTTGATTAATCTTGTGTAGAAGTATCATCTAGAGAACCCTACTAACTATATCAGAAGCACCATGTAACCAGTAATGAGGTCATCGGGATGAGGCTTTTAGCTATATTATGGCAACGAGCGGACAGCCAGATCGCTTTTGTATGTTTTTGACATAAAATAAATTTCGTGCTTTTGTGTAGAATATTTTTCTATATTTTTGTAAAATAAAGTTACTGGAAATAAAGCACATTCAAGGTTTAGTTGGCATTATTTTACTTTCAATATCCAGTATAATGTATTTTAAAAATTTTTTGTGTTTACAAAATTGTTCAAGCAAATAGTCATACAATGTTCAATTAATCACAGGAAAAGGAATTCATCCGGTATTAACAAAACTAAGTTTGTTTGGGTAATATAGGAATGTGTTTAGTAATTAACCTAAGAGCTGTGTTTTTATGTTAACACCCCCGAAAAAAGTTTATATAAGTGCTCTTACATCTTGTTATTCTGACATTCTGACCTTGTCACCTAGTGACTACAGGTGTCTTCAATTTGCTTCCTGAACAGTGGTTACGGAGCCATACCTCGCGTAAAAAAATCTTAAGTGTTTTCAGATCACATAAAATAGTGAGAATAAACTGTGAAGAGTTAAACTGGTATCAACCAAGTCTGTCTGTCAGTCTGTCCGTCTGTCTAGCTGTCTGTCTGTCCAACCGCCTGTAGAATTTTTTTTTTGATTCTAATCATTTTTTTCCCTTCAAATATAGTAGCTTTAATGTGAACCATTTGAACTTGCGCGTCTGGTATTTTCAGATCGATTTGTCAAAATTTAAATATGTTATAATTTTTTAAAGAGTTTATTGTACGTAACTTCTTTTGAAGGAAAAAAATTGAGCGAAATTCTTATCCTTGTCTTGATTTAACTTTGAAACTTCCCCAATTTATGCAATAAGCATTTAGTAAATTCTATGGTCGTTACAATGACCTGTGCCGGATGTTGTATATCGCCACATTTTCAGAATAAGAAAAAGCGGCGATAAAAAATCTGAAGGTATCGAATAGTGATAAATCCGTTAAATTCTGTAAACAATACCAGTCATAAATAGAGGAGAAACTTAAAACCCTTGGAAATATCAGAGGAGATACCTGAGGTGGAATCGGGTGCCTCGGAGGAGTAAGCATCCCCTGTTGACAGATCACACCCTCTGTAATGATCAGGTAAACGGAGTAATAAGTATAAAACATGGCCTTACATTTGGTATGAAACATGTCATTTAAAATACGACTCAGTCATAGGTTGTATTTGCAAACAACGTTATTATTTGTGAAATGCAAAGATTTTACTAATGGACAATAAGATAATTTTGTAATATTGTAGGTAGACTAAAAATGAAACACTAAATTAAACACAAAGGTTAATGTTATATAAAAGAAAGAGGACCGAAATAAACAAACTTTCAAGTTTTTTTTTTTAAATACATGGTTTATATATACTCATTATGTGGTGCATTGAGTTTTAGAATGTACTTTTTAACTTGACTATTGTAAATTCAGCTACACAGTTCCAGTCTGTCCATTGTTTGTTTAGTGCTTTATATGATAAAATATTATCATATTTTGATCAATAAACTTTTCACCTCAAAAATGTGTTTTTACTTTTCGGGTTATAGTTATGGGATGAGGGCGTCCAAACAAACTTATACTTAAAATATTTTCAAAATATTTAAATACATGAAATGTAAAGATACCGAACATTAATTAAGATAAAAAAAATATAATTTATACAAAACAAATTGGGAGGATAGGAAACGCGGACCTCTAGAAATGGTATAAAGTAGGTTACAGTGATTGAACTCAAAAATACAATTAACAAAACAAATCGGGAGCAGAGCAATCAGGAACCCCTAAGACAACAGGTGGGATAAGGTACCATGGTTTAGTAAGCATCCCCTCTCAACTAGTCTCACCTGCCGTAGGTCAAATGGCATACATACAAATGATGAAATCGGCTGACATGTCCACATTGTCATGCAATAGACTTCGTCCCCCGCTTTTGCTAAGTACAGAAAAATTGATTTGGGTCTGTCTGTCCGTCATTCTGTCTATCTGTATACTTCGTTTCCGGATATCTCTAAAAGTCATTAAGCTTTTGGAATGAAATTTTATATCTGAATTACCTATGAGTTGATTCCCAGTTATTTCGATACGTAAGAGCATGCTCTACGTATGACCAATTTCTAAAACGAGGCAAGCTATTGGCAAATATGTTGACGGTACAAGGATATCAACTGTCTCGTTTAAAGTCATTTCGGAAATTCTATGGTCGATACAATGGCCGTGTCAGCAAATACAATCTGTCGTTAAATCAAATGTTGACTGACGTGTTTCATACAAATTGTTACGCTATTATTTACACACTGAATGGTCTACGGATTTTTCCGTTTTCCCGATCATGACAAAGAGCACTTGAAAAAGACTCCTATTCATTGAAAAGTCAATACATCTGGTCAAGTTAACAAATTCCACTGAAAAGTTGAAATCTAGTTTCAGAAAAGTTTTTTATCTAGTAAAGAAACTTATCTTGCAAACATTGTAGGAAAACTAAATGACACGAAACAACGTCATGAAAAGCATCCGATATGATGACAATAAAAACACAATTAAAAAAATTATTTTCTGTAGTGAAATGCTGTAATTTATTCCTTCAATAAAAGTGATATTTTGGCAAGTGATATTTTCAAAATGAAAATGTCAAAACTGATATTTTCACTGTGAAATATAAAAATCTCGGCAAAACTGTTAATTTTCCTGCCCTTCACAAAGAATGTTATAAAGTTATAAAGAAATTTTATACTCCCTATGGATAGCAAAAATACTAGTAAATAAATAATCCTGACACAATCTAAATCTTCCAACGTTTCTTCAAATTCTTATTAAAACCCATATTTACAATGTGTGTCTACGACACTGCGTTACGAAAAGATGGGCGAAAGAAAAATCAAATAAAATGTAATAAACAAAACATCCAATGTTTTGTAGTTGGATGTGGAATGTGTTTCACTCGTGATATTTTTTAAAAATATTTTCACTGGTGCTTTCCACTCCTGAAAATAAATGTAAAATACTGTCCCACTCGTTAAATAAATTCCATATCCAATTACAAAAAAATTGGATATCCTCTATATATTTACTTTATATTCATTCTTTTCTTTCGAGTAAATAACCGTTTCTTTTCTTAAAGATATAGAAATATACAGCTCTATCGAGAAAGTTAAGCAAGTTTATTGAACAGCGATATGTCAGTCACATGACATATCATTTACAAAGTATATGTACTTTCTTTTGTGCAATGTACAATTCCGATAAATAAGGATACGAATATGTAAACTTAAGATTCAACATCTTTTTAAAACAAGGAATAAACAAACTTTTCACATTTACAGTTTTACTGAACAAGAGGTGTTAAATAACTCTCGACCTTCACCCATTAAAACTTACTACGAACGTGTATTCACCCTAACAAAAATACTATAGTCAACTATAGTTTATTATTATACCTCTACTGTTATTACTCTATATAAAATTAATACCATAAAACTGTCTATTTCCCTGAGAAGATACTACTTCCCTCATCTGGAGACTACTCCCTGAAAAATCGAAGCTACTCCCTGAGACTACTCCCTCATGAATATTTATTAATAATTTTAACCAATTAAAATGAACAGTGGGCGGAGCGTTCAAGGAATCTCGAGTCTGTGACGTAATGTTATTAGGAATGTAACTATGACGTCAAAACATTTTAACATGCTATGTCAAAATCATATGTGGAATTCTAAGTTAGCAAAATGAAGACAACGATAATCCTTCGAAGTGTCTGTGAAATTATTATATATTTTTTGATAATTTTATTTTCCTCGGTATTGATGCATTAGTTATCTTACAATATTTTTAAACACATGCATTTTTGATTATTTAAATGCCTTTATATTGTTTTAAGAAATGTCTGAGTCTCTAGTTGAATAAATCTCCCATGATTGTTTCGGTATAATAAAACTGTTATGGAATGGGTACTCAGGAAATATCAAATTTATGGTTCCCCTCGGCAGGAAACTATTTCCCTCGGCGGCTTCGCCACCTCGGGAAATAGTTTCCTCCCTTGGGGAACCATAAATTTGCTATTTCCCTCATACCCATTCCATAACTGTATACTATAGTTAACTATAGTTAACTATAGTGATAACTGTGACACTTTGATTTATTACAGTGATCACTATGACACTATAGTGATAACTATGAAAACTTTGATTTACTATATAGATCAGTATGAAAACTTTGATTTACTATTGTGATAACTTTGACACTTTGATTTACTATAGTTATCTATAGTAAACTATAGTTAACTATAGTATTTTTTTGTTAGGGTGCACATGTAAAATTGAAGAACACGTGACACAATGTATTTGTCGATATGAAGTACATTGTGACTTAGTCAGGAAATAAATAGGGGATTTTTTTTTAAAAAAGATATATAAATATATACCTTTGTCATATTGAATATATTGTGACTGAAAAGGAACTTTTGGTTACATATCAATTTGGTATAATATTTCTGTCTGTTTAAGGGAGAATATGTTTTGTTAATTTTCTATTTTAGAAAGTATTCAAGCTTAATTAAGACCACGCCCAATGAAATATAGAAACTTTTGTATGTAAAATTTAATTAATAGTATCAAGTGAAGAAGTCATTAATTGTAAAGAGAGTACATATATAGTTGTAAAGTATATTGTATATAAATTTATTTTAAAGTATTATACTATATGCGCCAATCCATCTAAATAGAATTTAAAACATTTTAGTGTATAAAACAGTACATTATATAAAACAATGGTATATAAATTATAGTGTATAGTATGTGTATGTTCAAAAGTACACATCTTTGGTCTAAAATTAATAGTTCCAAATTGCTTATTTGAAAAAAAATTCCCCGAAAAGTTATTCTTTTACAATGTATAATCATCAAGAACGGGGTAAGGGAACCCACTGAGGATCCCTTTCCAGTCCAAAGTAAACATCCGTCAGAAGAACGTATCCATGATTATAAATCACCGGGGGAAAAAAATTATATCAAATAATAGAATATTTATAAAAATGTAAAATCAATTAACTATATAAAAATAATTTTTTTTTGTATTTCCTGCATGATAACAACCCGATATATCAGTCAATGTGTGGCACAGAGGTATCAATAAAGTTCACAGATTACTGAAGGTTAACGTTTAACAAGTCTCATCCTAAAATCGCGAGGCGTGTTAGTTATCCCAAGGTTTCCTTCCAGAGAAGGCAAACATTCGGAATTCTCTGGCTCTATCTCAAACTTCTGTAGAAATCGGGTGAAAAAAAGGAAGAGCTCCATTTTAGCGAGTGCCTCTCCAAGACACACCCTTGGTCCTGTTGGAGCAAAAAGAAGACATTTCATCAATTCAAGAATAATTTCTATACAATATACAATAAAAACAAATATCCTAGTTTTATACAATTAAAATTTAGATCAAACTAGGCAATGTCCGTGATAATTTCTTGTTCATTGTTTTCTTCGACACTTTATTAACACTGAAAACATTTATTTCATATTCATACCTAACGAAAAGGGGACAAGCTTGTCTTTTAGCTCTCCAGAACAACTCCCGCTTTCGTCTAGAAATCGCTCCGGTTTAAACACTGCAGGTTCAGGAAATATTTCTGGATCCATCAATACAGAATCCAAAAGAAAAAATACTGTTGTACCTTTTGGAAAGAGAAATCCTTTGTACGTCGTGTCTTCCTTTCCTGCATGTGGGGCATTTAGGGGAGAAATATTTGATAGACGTTGAGTTTCCTGTAAAAATGCATCTACCAATGGCAATAGATCCCTGTGTTCCATCTTGGGTTGTCTCTGACCTATGATGTCATTAATTTCTTTTTGAAGTCTTTTCTTCCAATTTGGATTATGAAGTAAAAACAGAAATGCCCATCTCAATGTCGTAGAAGTAGTTTCAGTTCCTGCAGAAAAGAAGTCCCTTAAAGTCTTGTTCAGATTTTCATCTGTAAAAATAGAAGTAAAACACATTTTATAATAAATGATGCTTTCCATAATAAGGATGTTTTTGGTTAAATAAGAAAATAAAGATAGCGGTATTGTACTTTGACCAAATGGGTCAGACTTCAGACTGCATTTTTTGGTCTAGTATTGCTAAAAAATGATTTCACATACTAATAACCTTTCGTGAAGTCTACTCTAAAATGGAAATTACAGCAATTTTTATATATTTAGTATCACATATTTTTTTGAAAAATTACATACAGTATAAATTAGATTCTTTTCATAGCTCCATAGAATCGTCGTGCAGGTTTTATCAATTAAAATATGGTCTGAACATGTCGTTAAACACAATTTAAAAAGAAAAGTTTTTTTTCCAACAAATACCCACGATATTTTTGAACAGGTAAGTTTATATGTGGCAAATTACCTGTGAATATAGTGTTGATTTCATTTCCTCTTTGTTTTTGTTCCAGAAGGTAAACATCGATGAAATCATTGATGTGGTCCTCGTCAAAATTTCTTCTGTGCTCCTCTATCATTTCATTGACAAATGCTCTCATAGCATTAACATTTTTTTTAACTAAGTCGATGTCAAATATTCTAATATGGCGTAAAGAGGGAAAAATAAAGACTGGCGACGATGAAGAAATACTGCGGAAGGACTTGGACAATAGGTCAATTAAACGCTTGAATCTTGTATCACCATAATCAAATCTTTTACCAAATAAAAGCGAACAAATAACGTTTGACACAGATGCATTTAATAAACTTTGAATATCAAAAGCCTCGTTTTCATATTTTTCCAATTTCTCCATCAAACAGTCTACTTCTTCCATGATTTGGCTTTCCAAGCAACGTCTCCCGAATCCAAACTTGCGCAATGTCATCAGTGAAAAAGTTCTCATTTCCTTCCATAACGGACCTGATGACCATATCACACCTAAACAAGTAGAAATAAATTATAAAGAATATTGATTAAAATCAGAATAATCAGATAATATGGGAACCCTCTATTAGTGATGCTTTAATAGATTTTTTTTTATAATCAAAATAACTGATATCAAAAGGATAAAGCAATATTCATCACAGGGTGAGATCGGTGCAAGATATGATGGGACATGAACTCTTGCATTCTTTAGGGACAAACAAACGTTTTACAAATTTTGATGGGACATTCATATTTTTCCTGCATAAAATTGTAACAAAATTACCACGTAAGTCAAATTAATTAATTATACAGTGTACAAATTCAACACTTTCTTGGAATTATTGTATATCATTTTAGATTTAGAAAGATCATGCTTAACAAGAAAACAAAATTAAATTTACCATAACTCACTGAAAAAAAATTATAGTTGATGAAAAGAACTGCCAATATCGATTGACAGACCTTAACATGATGTTGAATGGTTTCTATGGAAATTTAAGTCAACTCAGAATCTCTTTTTCTTAATAGTACGGCTCTTCGGATCGAGTTACTCTCACTTCTCCGTTATCATCATAGGCTCTGTGTGCAGTTTTTAATTTACAATAAAGGTTCCTTATTGTCCTGAGCATACCAATGAGCATGAATTTTATTTATCACCCTGATTGTAAGATTAATATAATGTTTTACCATTTCCTTTTGCAATATCCGTAGCAAGTGATCTTGGTCGCTCAGAGAATACATCGCCATGCTTAACCAGTAAATGTTGTATGTTATTGAATCCATGAACAAATATGATGGGTTTATGGAAGATCATTATGGTATAAATGTCTCCATAAATTTTCCTTAGTCTTCTGTGAGCTTTGATAGCTTTTGAAGGTTTGAAGATTCTGACATTCCCAATGATTGGGTAACATGTAGGACCAGGCGGGAGTCCCTTTGGTCGTCCAGTTAGACTCCATATCAAACACACTAAAATAACAATAATGGCCAAAGTCACCCACATAATGCAAAGTGTCGTAGATGACGGCCTACATTCATTGAACTTTACTGTATGGTTGCAATTCCGTGCCAAAACTCTATGTTCCTTATTTTATTTTTTAAATTCTAATCTCTAATTTTACAGTTCGTTATTTTTATATTTCATATATGCTCTCATTGAAAAAGGAAAATTGTTTAGCATTGTTATCCCTTCCATCTGCCAGAAATTTTATGAGTTCTTAAATTTTTTTAAAATATAAAAGTAGCCAAATCATTTTGCAAAGTTTTAAACATTTTCATTTAAATATGCATGGTTTTGAAACTTTGATTTAAAGGCTTGAGGGCTTTGCAGGACCTAAAGGATTTGTTTCGATAAAAGCTGTTACAGAAACCTCTCTCTCGTTTTTACAGGAAGAAAGCGAATTCATTTTGCATATGAATGGCCATGTCATTAAGGTATGCAGTGAGGTTTCGGAATTTCGATACCTGGCTTACAGCTGCAAAATGGGATTAAAAGAAAGCAGAATATTAAAGCTCTTTCCACATTTCTGGATTTTGCTATAGTATAGTTTTGCAACGGTTGTGAATGTAAAAATAAACGTAATGGATGCTGCAAGAAACATTTTTTTCATGTCTGATCGTCAAATGCTGAATGACGTTTTCCATACTTGTTGTTTGAATATTAATATACACGCTAGAATTGAAACGAATTTTTCCGTTTACCCGATCATGACAAGGAGTACACGGAGGGTGTGACGGGTCGACAGGGGATGCTTACTCCTCCATGGCACCTGATAACGCCTCTTATGTTGATGGAGGTCCAAGTTTGCTCTGCTCCCGATTTGTATTGTTTAAATGGACTACGAGCTTGAATATTGTTTGTTATCTTTATGTTTCATTCTTAAAAACAATACTAATATCGAAGATTGTTTACATGATTAACAAACTTCAAGATCAAAGCCATATATATATATATATATATATATATATATATATATATATATATATATATATATATATATATATATATATATATATATATATATATATATATATATATATATATATATATATATATATATATATATATATATATATATATATATATATATATATATATATATATATATATATATATATATATATATATATATATATATATATATATATATATATATTTGAAAAAAGAAAGCACTAGCGTTTCAAAAGTAATTGGCAAGGTTAAAGTTTTACAAAAATACGTCAATAGGATAATTTTTTTGGCATCCAAAGAAAGGTCTTATCATAAGGATTGATTGATTGATTGTATGTTGTTTTACGTCCCATTCGAGAATTTTTCACTCATATAGAGACGTCACCGGTGAAGGGCTTCAAATTTACACGGCACTCAGGGCCATTGAGCAGTGAGGGATCTTTATCGTGCCAACGCCTGCCGTGACACGGGGCCTCGGTTTTTAAGGTCTCATCCGAAGGACCCGCAACTTTCACTTCAAAGTGCCGAGAGCTTGGCGAAGGATCAGTTTCTGATTGACAATATCTATGTGGTTTTTGGAGACCAAGTCTTCCAACAATCTATTGGAATTTCCATGGGTACCAATTGCGCCCCGTTATTAGCAGACCTTTTTTGGTATTCATATGAAGCAGAATTTGTCCAAAATCTTGTACGTGAAAAGAAGAAAACACTTGCTGTGGCCTTCAACTCGACATTTAGATATATCGACGACGTATTGTCAATTAACAATGGCTATTTCCATTCTTATGTCGGTACGATATATCCTGGTGAACTTGAGATAAAAGATACCACAGAGTCTGACGCATCTGTTTCATATTTGGATATTTTACTTGAAAAAGACGTTAATGGTAATCTAACAACCAAGCTTTATGATAAACGTGATGACTTTAACTTTTCAATCGTCAACTTCCCTTACTTATGCAGCAATATACCTTCATCACCTGCATACGGGGTATATATCTCTCAGTTGATTCGATACGCAAGAGCATACTCTACGTATGTACAATTTCTAAAACGAGGTAAATTATTGACAAATAAGTTGACGAAACAAGAATATCAGCTGTCTCGTCTAAAGTCATCGTTTCGTAAGTTCTATGGTCGATACAATGACCTTGTCAGCAAATACAATTTATCATTGTATCAAATACTGACTGACGTTTTTAACACTAATTGTTAGGCCATTATTTACACACTGAATTGTCGACGGATTTTTCCGTTATTTCCCGATCATGACAAGGAGCACACGGCGGGTGTGACCGGTCGGCAGGGGATGCTCACTCCTCCATGGCACCTAATCCCACCTCTGATGTTTGGAGGTCCGTGTTTGCTCTGCTCCTATTTTGTATTGATTAATGGACTTTTGAGCTTGAATACTGTTCGTTATCTCCATATATTTCATTGCTACCCATTTTTTATCTACTTAGGTCAGTCGCGGCCGAGATTCGAACTCATGACCTCCCGATAACGAAGCGAGCGCTCTACCGACTGAGCTACTGTGAACGGTCTTGTCACAAGGAATGCATATGTGAAAAATGAAAGCTGTAGCACAAACGTTTCTGACAAGATAACAGTTTTTTAAGTAACTAGTCAATCTCTAAGGTCAAGGTTAAAGGGTCAAAGATGTTGATACCCAAGGAAAGGTCTTGTTACAAGAAATACACAGTGAAAGCCATAGCACCAACTGTTCAGAAGTTATCGGCAATAGGTTAAAGTTTTTATAAGTAACTCCAAGGTCAGGATCATGAAATGAAAATTTTTAGCACTCAAAGAGTGTCACAATAAATACACATGTAAAATATGACAGCCTTAGTACCAACTGTTCAAAATAAATGTTTTTGCGGAGAAAGAAACAGACAGACGCACGGACACAAATATATATGTCCCCCAAATCTTTGATTTCATGGGCATAAAAACGTAATTTTTAAATAAAGCTTATATATAGTGCCTTTAGGTCTTGAACTTATAACATTGAACTTTCACTAAGTGACTACAATACTTATGAATTGAAATAAGTCCCATGCAGCTCGGACAAAAACATAAATAACCACAGAAATAACAGTTTTATTATTACAACAACACCAACGAAAACAAATTGTAATTTGCAATCAAAAAGAAGACTAATTTGACAAAGTTTATATGTAAATCTAAAAGAGAAATAAATTATTTGAATCAACAATACAATTCAAACACACCCATCTGCAAGCATTAAGAAACAATGCGGAAAACCAAAGACTGACAGACAGAGGGACAAACGGTCGGACAGACACGTAATCCCCCCTCCCGGTGTTTTCGGCAGGCGAATAAAAATAATGTTTATAAATAATAAGATAAAACTAAAAAAACAATTGAAACAATTTGGTACAAAGATGGAAGTTAATTTGTGTTCTTTAGTGATCAACAGATTTATAAATGAAATTGGATTATAGTATACTAAACATGAATGAAGGTGACACGTAGTAATTTAGCACTATCCATTATAGAGAATTAATTACGTTACTATTGTATCAATAATATGTTATTGATCTAGATCTTTTGTGAAAAAATTATCATTTTTAGGGACAAGGAGATAAACAATGTCACTTATCTCTCCAGATAGTGGTAGAGATTTGTCCTCAAAAACATTTATTTAGTTTGGAAACATAAGACAAGTAAGTATTTTTTTTTTTCGAATTACAAACCTTTCATCCTTGATTTTGAGTTTGTTTTAAGAGTTAGGTTATTGGTCAAAGGAACTAATTTCTTTGTGATATGAAAAAATATGAAGATATAAGTAATAGTGATCGATCTCAAAAAACTCTACAACAATACAAATCTGTGAACAGGGCAAAATACACGAACCTTTGAATGTAGTGTTGATTTCCTTTGATCTTTGTTTTTATTCAAGAAGGAGAACATCGATGAAATCATTGATGTTTCCTTCATCAAAGTTTATTCTAGGCTCTTCTATTATTTCATGAATGAACAAAGGTGAAGATAACGAACAGTGATCTATCTAAAATAAATCTATAAATACAAACTGTGAAGAGGGCATGAAACACGGACCCCTGGAAACTCCAGAGCTGGGATAAGGTGCCTAGGATGAGTAGGCATCCCCTGTTGTCCGGTCTCACACGCCGTGAGCCTTATGTATTGATCAGGTAAACGGATCATTCCGTATTCAAATTAAGTTTAAAAACAAAGGCCTAACAATTGGTATCAAATGCGTCAGTCAAAATACGACACAATGTAACGTTATATCTGCCAACAAGGTGGTCCAACTAACGACAATAAAATTGAAATGCTAACTTTAAACGAGGATGTTTAAATTCCTGTAACATAAACTTTTCTGTCATTAGCCTGTTCTTGTTTATCGATGGTGTGAGACATAAACACCATATGCTGGTGATAACGGAATGCAACTACATAAATAAGGAGAGGTGACGATGGAAAAGTGAAGTCATCTGATTTGTCATAGTTGTCAGTTGGCCAGTTGTTAAGAATTAGATAATCTTAACAATGGTTATTAATATTAAAAACAGAAATCAATCAACATAGTTTCACAGGGGTATGTCAAAGTTTTGTTAAAATGAAATCCTATGAGATAAAAGAACATCTATAATAGTGTGATTTAATATTTGCTTTATCCAACGCTTTGAAATGGTGTATATATATTTGCTCGGCAAGCCTCGCGAATATAACCATTTCAACTTGTTGTATAAAGCAAATATCAAATCACAAAATCTAGATATCCTCTATATATTTATCAACCTCAGGAGTCGAAAAGGAAGTGAGAGCTGTAGCACCATGGTTGCTTTTCTTATAAATGACACTTCCTAGTCTATTCCCAAATTCCATAAGCCAACTCATGATCAGGGTGTATCCTATGCCCAAATAAAATAAACAAACATAAGATGAGAAAAATGCAATTCAATAATAAATTTTGTTTAGAAATTTTAAGTCTTAAAAGTCTCATTTTAAAGGCTTGCGGAATGTTAGCTATTCCCAGGGTTCCTTCTAGAGAAAACAACAATTCG